GCGAATTTATTATTTAATTGTAATCCATTGATTTTTTCCCGTAATAAGTACACTGTCCTGGTAGAAAATATTGTGAATAGTCCTGGATTTCCTGCAGTTTTGATTTCTTATGTTTAAAAATCAATATTTTGACTTGTTTAATATGTATATTTGGGTTCAAAATGTGACCTCCTATAATGTGCCCAAAAATGATTCTCTTCTTACCTAAGTTATAATTTTTTTTTTTTTTGTATAGGATCAGTTTTTTTTTTTTTCAAAATTTTTGTTGGAGAGGCTGGTACATATTTCTTTAGAGTGCAGTGAATTTAGTTTTCTAAATTATTTTTCTGAGGCCTGGACACAGACCGGGGAGCGGGGGCGTTGACCCCCGAAACCCTCTCCAGGTGTAAAGAAAATAAATGCAAATAGTGAAAAAAAAATTGACTTTTAAAAATTCCTACAAGAAAAAATAGCACCAATGGAACACGAAAAAACATATAATATCATATACGACGATATTCTAAATACTTAAAAAAAATATGTTACTTCTTTCTTAAAAAAAATTACGACTCGAGTCTGAAAAATTTTGATTTTCAAAAATTTATTTACATACTAACATTTACTATTAACGCAAAGGTAAACAAATTTTGAAAAGATTTTAGTTAAAAATATAACACATAAATCGGAAATGACGAAGACAACAAATAAAAATCGTCTTAAAGAACTTTAATATGACTTAAAATAGCAAGAATGAGAGGCAGTTTTAAGGAGTCTTATTAAGCTGGAAAATAACGCTCTGCATCCTGGAAATTATTGACATATATTGTAATTATATTATTTATTAAAGAAAGCTTATTTTAATCAAGGGAGAAGCGCTAAATCCGTGGGGTTATACATCACCTGTGGGAGGATTTGGAAGGTATTCAGACTTAATTCAGGGAACTGGAGCACAGGTCCAATTCCCTAGATCAAGAGCCCCTCACTAGCGTCAAGGAACCTCCCTTGAGGGGAAGTTATAATGTTTCCACAGATATAATCACTCGATGGTCCGGTAAACAAAGGACACACCGGTTCAGTATTGCCTAAATTCAGTAAAGTCTGTCGAATAAAAATTTTGTGCTAAATAGCATAACTGTTAGATATTTTTGATCAATAAATTTCTATAATATCAGTAAATTTTCTTTTCTAAGGTCTTCCTTGTCACTTGATCGTTTATTGGATTTCCTAATTCACTTGGCAGAGATTTCACAAGACATAATAACTCACATGTATTCTTTCAAAAGCAGGCAACTTGGAAACTGCTTTAACTTTTTAAATTTGAATATAGATATCTTAGGTATAACTTCAAACTTCGTTAATAGTGACTCTAATCTCTGGGTTTTTAAAACGTAAACAGCATCAGATCATGGGAAAATGTAGATGATCCAACAGTTGCAATTGTGTCTAATTGTGATCTCTGAATTCTTGCAACATTCTGAGAAAACCTTCGACACTACTTTTCACGGTTAATTAGCCGATTCTTCGCTACTAAAGTCTCTGGACGACAACCCTGCAATTGGACAATTAATCAAACGTACCTAATACTGTACGTACCCCTACAGGTATAATGCCACCTAGCATATGCGTGATCCTACAAGTAAGGATCACACGCCGAGACGACCAGGAAAGAGAAAGCCTTATAAGGGTAAAGTATAAATAATTTCTGCTGTCAAATATGATTATAAACAATTTATCCTTTGTTGTACACTATATTGATGTGAAGCTTAAGGACTGATCTCCACTGAATTGATGCCATGCTGCTTCAATGGTTTTCATGGTGTGACCGCTATAGTAGGCTCGCTGTTTGCATGTAAATCTTTATATGCATATATGGATATTGGATCAATATCATAATATAATATATATGGTCGCAACTAAAACCATAGCTAAACATAATAACCCTCACAATCGCCGATGCCAAAACTTAACCAGGCCTAACTGCAACCCATCTTGCCATATAGACAGTGAAAACGTACAATAATCGCCAAAATTCATCTAACCCAAGGCTGCAAAAAAACCAGTCACTTTTCGTAAAATATGCTAAACAAATTTAAAATAATTACTTGCAAATTAAATAACGTGTCTGGAAAGGTTAGGTAAGTTCTAAGATTGCTTTTGGTTGCAAAATTAAAACTTTGGCCAGTCATTAATGAAAAAATTATTTTCTCGTAAGTGAAATTTCCAACTAGGAAAAATTTAACATGTCTGTTTAGTGGGGCATTAGGTATTAGGGAGGGAATTTATATATTTTATACTTAATGATGGAATTTATATATAATTATGTGGATGAATATATTATGATATATGATTGCTAGATGTTAGTATGGTAAAAGGATAGATTATGAACATTGAGTAATTAGATAGTGGACAGTTGGTGAAGGTGTGTGGTGTGGTGGACATGGGTGTGGTGGTGGGGGATGATGGTGTGTGTGTGTGTGGTGGGATGTATCATAGTAGTATCCCAGTTAAACCTACAATATGTACTTTTCATAACATTACTCTAATGCAGGTTAGAATAATTGAATATCACAATGGAATATAGTTTTCAGAATTACGTGGTGGAGACATGGGATCTTTTCCCTATACTACGTTTACCCACTTACGGACATTGAATCACAGCAAGATTACAAGGCGCTTATATTTTCAAGTCTGAGAACGTTCCCGTGAGCACGTAGTACGTAGAAGTAGATCAGTTTTAAAATTCTACATTGTTATTTACTGGATTGTTATATTTCCTCATCGTGTGAAGGCAGAATGGAAATACTGCGAATTTATTATTTAATTTAATCCATTGATTTTTTCCCGTAATAAGTACACTGTCCTGGTAGAAAATATTGTGAATAGTCCTGGATTTCCTGCAGTTTTGATTTCTTATGTTTAAAAATCAATATTTTGACTTGTTTAATATGTATATTTGGGTTCAAAATGTGACCTCCTATAATGTGCCCAAAAATGATTCTCTTCTTACCTAAGTTATAATTTTTTTTTTTTTTGTATAGGATCAGTTTTTTTTTTCAAATTTTTCTTGGAGAGGTTGGTACATATTTCTTTAGAGTACAGTGAATTTAGTTTTCTAAATTATTTTTCTGAGGCCTGGACACAGACCGGGGCGCGGGGGCGTTGACCCCCGAAACCCTTTCCAGGTGTAAAAAAAATAAATGCAAATAGTGAAAAAAAAATTGACTTTTAAAAATTCCTACAAGAAAAAATAGCACCAATGGAACACGAAAAAACATATAATATCATATACGACGATATTCTAAATATTTAGAAAAAAATATGTTACTTCTTTCTAAAAAAAATTACGACTCGAGTCTGAAAAATTTTGATTTGCAAAAATTTATTTACAAACTAACATTTACTATTAACGCAAAGGTAAACAAATTTTGAAAAGATTTTAATTAAAAATATAACACATAAATCGGAAATGACAAAGACAACAAATAAAAATCGTCTTAAAGAACTTTAATATGACTTAAAATAGCAAGAATGAGAGGCAGTTTTAAGGAGTCTTATTAAGCTGGAAAATAACGCTCTGCATCCTGGAAATTATTAACATATATTGTAATTATATTATTTATTAAAGAAAGCTTATTTTAATCAAGGGAGAAGCGCTAAATCCGTGGGATTATACATCGCCTGTGGGAGGATTTGGAAGATATTCAGACTTAATTCAGGGAACTGGAGCACAGGTCCAATTCCCTAGATCAAGAGTCCCTCACTAGCGTCAAGGAACCTCCCTTGAGGGGGAAGTTATAATGTTTCCACAGATATAATCACTCGATGGTCCGGTAAACAAAGGACACACCGGTTCAGTATTGCCTAAATTCAGTAAAGTCTGTCGAATAAAATTTTTGTGCTAAATAGCATAACTGTAAGATATTTTTGTGCAATAAATTTCTTAATATCAGTAATTTTCTTTTTCTAAGGTCTTCCTTGATCACTTGATCGTTTATTGGAGTTTCCTTGTCTTCCTGTGGCAGAGTTTCGACCAAGTGACAAATTGATGGGCCACCTTTTATTGCTGCAAAATCTCGCTATGTTACAGCTTCATTAAGCTTGTTCTAAAGTTTGATATATTTATATTTCTCTATGTATACTTTTTTTTCAAAACTTTCGTTAATGTGCTCTTTGAATCTCGTCACTTTTAAATCACACGAAGCAGCAGTCAGAGACTGGGGGAGAATGAGGATACCCAAGAGTTGCACATGTGTCTAATTTATCAACATGTCGGTTCTCTGAACCATTCATCTACAAACCTGTCAGACACTGCAACTTCTTGGGATCTTAATACTTGGGAATTCTTCGCTTGCCTAATTCTTGGGCACGACATACTTCAACATTGAACAAATGTTACACGACCTATGACTGCTGCACCTCTCCTGCCAACGGTTTATAAGCTCCTTCTCAGCACGTATGCCGTATTCTATTCAAGATTGATGGACTGACCACATCCAGTCAGAGACTGACTCAGTGTAGAAAAGCCTGTATAAGTTGGGTCAAAGAAATGTAATCTTTCTGACTAAAAGTCAAATATTCAGTAATGACGACATTTTCTTGGTCAGCAGCGTCAGTAATATCTGAATGCTGATACAGGCTTAAGGGACTGACTGCATCCCACTGAGATTGATGTACTCATGACTGCTTCCAATGCTGTTTTCACATGTGTCCGACTGAAGAAGGTTGTTGTGCAGGCGAAACGTTTCGGCAATAAGGATATTGGTCCAAGATCAACACCCAGAAAAAGGCGGCCACACCCACAACACCCATGCTACACCCACAACACCCTGTCCACACCCAGATCACCCAGCCCACACCCATTACAACCAGACCACCCTCGCAACACCCTGGCCACTTCCATATCACCCAGGCCACACCCAAAACACCCAGCCCAAATTCATAACACCCAGGCTACCCTCCAAAACACCCAGGTCACTTCCACAACACCCTAGCCACACCCACAACATCCTGGCCACACTTACCATTGACAACATTAACAGTAACAGAGTCTGGCAGAGCGTAGGTGGGAGCGCAGGTGTAGTTACCAGAGTCGACCTTCAGCGCCCGCGTCATATACAACTTGGAGATTGTTCTCGTGGGCGTCTTCTCCACCTGAAAACAGAACACTGTCGTAGTTAGTGGGTGGGGAATTAGGGTGATTAGTGGGTGGGGGATTAGGGTGATTAGTGGGTGGGGAGATATTGTACTTAATGGATGGGAGATTGGGGAGCTTAATTGGTGGGAGGACGGGGATCTGAGTGGGTTAGTGGCGAGATGGTTAGTGTGGGGGAAGACAGGATGATTAGTGGACGATTGAGTCATTAGATAGTGGACAGTCGAGTGAAGGGTGGTGGGTGGGGAAACAGTGGACAGTAGAATGCAGGGTGGGGAGAAAGAATGGACAGTAGAGTGCAAGGTGGTGGGTGGGGAAAGAGTGGACAGTAGAAAACAGTGAACATAGTGAATGTACCTAAGACTTAGACACTGGTTAATGCAGGCTAATAAAAATTTATATGCATAAATTTAGGGAATATCAAGAGATACACAAATAACCCGCACATAGAAGAGAGGAGCTTACGACGACGTTTCGGTCCGACGTGGACCATTTACAAAGTCACACTAACCAGAAGTGGAGCAGGACGGCTATATATAGGCAGGAAGAGGTGGTGGTGGTGGTAGTAGTAGTAGTAATAGTAGTGGTGTAGTAGTAGTAGTGGTGGTAGTAGTGGTGGTAGTAGTAGTGGTAGTAGTAGCAGTAGTAGTGGTAGTAGTAGTGGTAGTAGTAGTAGTAGTGGTAGTAGTAGTAGTAGTGGTAGTAGTGGTGGTAGTAGTAGTAGTAGTAGTAAGTAGTAGTAGTAATGGTAGTAGTGGTAGTGGTGGTAGTAGTGGTGGTGGTAGTAGTGGTAGTAGTAGTAGTGGTAGTAGGATAGTGGTGGTAGTAGTGGTGGTAATGTAGTAGTGTGTAGTGGTGTAGTAGTAGTAGTAGTGGTAGTAGTGGTGGTAGTAGTAGTAGTAGTGGTAGTAGTGGTGGTAGTAGTAGTAGTATGGTAGTAGTAGGTAGTGGTGGTAGTAGTAGGGTAGTAGTGGTGTAGTAGTAGTAGTAGTGGTAGTAGTAGGTAGTAGTAGTGGTAGTAGTAGTGGTAGTAGTAGTGGTAGTAGTAGTAGTGTAGCGTAGTAGTAGTGGTGGTAGTGGGGAATTAAGGAGGAGGAGCCAGTCAAATACAAAGAAAGGGAAGCACTGCAAGGGAGCTAGGTGCCCACAAGGGAGCTGGGTGCCCACAAGGGAGCTAGGTGCCCACAAGGGAGCTGGGTGCCCACAAGGGAGCTAGGTGCTCACAGAGGGAGAGCAAGTGCACAGAGGTGGGGGGAAGGGGAAGTGATGAAATAAATAATGAAGGAACAGAAACACGCGACAGAAGAAAAAAGGAAAGAGGAAAGGGGGAAAAGGGAGAAGAAGAAAAAATGAGGAATCAGGTTAAGTCACGGGTGTTGTGAAGTTTGGAGCATTTTACAATGTAGAGGGAGAGGAAGGCATCTACAGAGACGAAGCCAGGACTGAGATTCATATAAGGAAAGTTGTGTATTAGAGAGGATTCAACCAGACGGCGACTGTTAAAGTTGGAAGTAGGGAAGAAAGTTTTAGCAGAAGACCAGTCTATAGGATGACTGTGATCTCTGACGTGACAGAAAAGAGCTTTGTTAGTGTCGGCAAGCCTAACACTATTTTTGTGCTCCCTAAGTCTTTCAGAAAGAGATCGACCAGTTTCTCCAAAGTATTGAAGAGGACAGGAGGAGCAAGAAATAGAGTAGACACCAGGAACATCTGTAGAGGGAGGAGAGGTATGAACGAGATTAGTGCGAAGAGAGTTAGTCTGACGGAAAGTAAATTTGATGTCTAAGGGACGGAGAGAATTGTTGAGATTAGAAAGATCGGAAATGCAGGGAAGGCAGAGGACAGAAGAGTTCCCAGGAGTAGAGAGTTTGGGAGAGAAGAAATTACGTTTAGCTCCTCTCTTCTATGTGCGGGTTATTTGTGTATCGTTCCAGTCACGGTATTGTGCCTTTTTTTGTTATTAATATCAAGAGAGATGTTATGTGTACATATAACATTTGTATTTATCTCCATTATTCTTTCATATACGAGAATTTATATTGCCTACTTTAACCAATTTGACGCTCACGAGAGGATATGAGCGACGTGACGGAAGAGAACAATAATTGAACATAAATCTTTGTATTGCTGATGTTAACAATAATAAACTCCTGATGAAATTGAAGCTAAAATAACAATGAGAAGTATCGAGTTTTTTTTTTTAGTTTGTTTCTAAAAATTATTTATTATTTCGTCTCAAACGCTGAAGGTGGTGACGCACTCCAGGAAGAATCTTCAAGCTTACTCTTACAACCACAACAATAAGATATGTCAAGGTAAAGCTTAAAAGTAAATCAAGCTTATCAATAAGTGAATGAAGGACAAACTTAATGTTTATGGAACGTTGTCGAAGGATGACATATTTATCGCAAGATAACATACACAAATAACCCTCAAATAGGATGAGATTTATGACGGTGTTTCGGTCAGACTTGAATCAGTTGGATTTATGCAATTGTTGCAGGATATCTGGAAGGATGAGCGGACGTTACTGCATGTGCAGTTTGTGAATCATGGATGTCAAACACATTGGTGACGTAATGTCAACACTGGTATTGTTTACCCCAACCGGGTCGTGTTGTATACTCCACTGGGTCGTGTCGTATTCCCCACCGGATCGTGTCGTATACCCCACCGGGTCGTGTTGTATACCCCACCGGGTCGTGTTGTATACCCCACTGGGTCGTGTCGTATACCCCACCGGATCGTGTCGTATACCCCACCGGGTCGTGTTGTATACCCCACTGGGTCGTGTCGTATACCCCACCGGGTCGTGTCGTATACCCCACTGGGTCGTGTTGTATACCCCACTGGGTCGTGTCGTATACCCCACCGGGTCGCGTTGCATGCTCCACTGGGTCGTGTCGTATACCCCACCGGGTCGTGTTACTGTATACCAGCACCGGGTCGTCTTATTGTATACCCCTACCGGGACGTGTTACTGTATACCTCACCAGGTCGTGTTATTGTATACCCCACCGGGTCGTGTTATTGTATACCTCACCGGGTCGTGTTACTGTATACCCCACCGGGTAGTGTTATTGTACTTCACCGGGTCGTGTTACTGTATACCCCACCGGGTCGTGTTACTGTATACCCCACCGGGTCGTGTTATTGTATACCCCACCGGGTCGTGTTATTGTATACCCCACCGGGTTGTGTTATTGCATACCTCACCGGGTCGTGTTACCGTATACCCCAACGGACCGTGTTACTATACACCCCCACGGGGTCATGTTATTGTATACCCCCCGGGTCGTGTTATTGTATACCCCACCGGGTCGTGTTATTGTATTCCCCACCGGGTCGTGTTACTGTATACCCCACCGGGTCGTGTTACTGTATACCCCACCGGGTCGTGTTACTGTATACCCCACCGGGTCGTGTTATTGTAATGTGCCGTAAGAAAGACTAGTAAAGAATTTTTAAAGTATTTTCCAGCATTTTCCAGCTTCGTATTTTTCCAGTATATGATCACGTGAAGGTATTGCATACAGAGGTTAACTTGTTGAATTTATGAATAATATTTACATAATAATGGATATTTGTTGTTCCAAGATATCGTACGTCACTGGAAATTCCGAATTATGCAGATATGCAATAATGTAGTGTAGAGTGGCTATGTTAAACAAGGTTTTTGGACAACTAAAAATCGTGATTAAATATTGCATATTGCAGCGTGGGAGAGTTGAATGCATTTGGCACTGCTAATTAAAGGTGTCCATTACCTCCATGCTTATACCTCCTCGGGGCGAGCTGTAGTTGAGGATGGAGGTACCTCTCAGCCAGCGCACGGGACCCACCACTTCGACCCCAGCTTGTACCTCGCAGTGAAGACTGATAGTGGAACCGTGTTGAATGTATACCTCCCGCGGACCCAGGATCTCCGCCTCTTGTACAGCTGTTTAAGAGAACAGTTATTAGTGAGAGATAAGTAATGTTTCAACACTCACACTTCCGAGGAATTAACTTCGTCTCATTTGTCTGTCACTCCCAACCATTCACTTTTTTTTTTTTACAGTAGAGTTTCCTCCCACATTGACTGCTCATTCGTAACTAAATCCCCGATTCCTAACCCTTCCCTTCCATTCCCATATTTCCATCTGTATCTTCCTGCTACTAATAGCTCATTTTACGGCTCATCAGAGTTCCATTCCCTCATTAAAAGTCTTTGCTCCGTCTTTCCATTTTTGCTGCATGTAGCTATGCTAGCAACCTCACCTCCCACACTACAATGACGCTCTGTGTTAATCTTCCATACTCCAATCTATCCTAACTCATAACTTATTATCAACATACCGAAACTACTAGAAAATCGTACTTGGCACGTCTTAGGTATACAATCTTTTCTTCTTTAAATCATCCTTCTTCCAAACGTACATCTTCCCAAGCCTTCATCATCCCAAGTACACATCTAATTCGTTGCGTGCACCGAGTAAGTTACAGTTTATTCGACGTTCGTCACACATCTATTGACATGCCTTCTCGACCAGCGAACTGCCAATTAAGAGTATAGCAGTTCTGGGGCCCCACTGCTGTATTTATTACCCAGTTCAACCCACCAATCAGGAGAGAGCAGGCTTTCCCAGCCAAAGTGATGCCCCACCTGTACGGGAAGCCGACTTTCTTGTACTCAGGTCGAAACCACTTGTAATAAGTAGTGAGGAAAACATGGATAAAGAAAGCTACCCCTGCTGTGTCTGACATGCCCTTGTCTTACCCTGTTGATCATAATATATAGCTGACTTTGTTTATGGCCAGGGGCTACAGGCCTTGAATCGCTGTGTTCGTACTTCAAACATTCGTAAACCCAATCTTATATTCTGTCAAATCAATATGTCAAATCAATATCGTAATAAACCAATATTTCTCCCAGCTTTTCTATTATCTCTCGTATCGTCCATCAACATAATCTTCCTCACAATAAATAAAATCCAACAGGATCATCACCCAACCTTGAAGGTGACCATCTTGGAACAGGAAGGAATCACGGTCAGGAGACACCGAAAGCTGCCATAAAAAAAAATACTACTAACGTAAAAAATACACAAGATCAGCAAGAATACTAACCTATGAGTATGCATAGCATTTAGTATATAGCCAGAGGTACATCATAGCTTAGTGTTGGCAAAATATGCGTCCTTAAATCTGTGAACAGCTTTTAAGAATCTGAACTAAGTATCATTCTAGACCCTATACACAGCATATTCTTGGCCAATTAGATAATATGCAATGATCAAGAATATAAAAAAAAATCAATGATATACGACAAGACTGATGCCAGAGACGTGATTGCTAAAAACTGGATCATGTGACTTTGAAGTAAAAATTAACCAGGGAGGCATAGAAATAATCTACTAGATACTAAAAGGATTTCATACGGAAGACAAGGATAAACTGCTTGAAGAATGTGGCTTAGGAACAAGGAAGCACAAGTTGAAACCTTCGAGCCACATGAATAATGTAAAGTACTTTGCCAGCCTCAAGAAGGTCAGCAATGATACGAGGCAACACACAAGGCGGCAGGAAACTTATGAAAACAGTAGTATATTGTTAAATTACGCGAGTAGCCACACACACACACACACACACACACACCACACACACACACACACACACACACACACACACACACACTCAAGCAAAGAGCAGGACTTTACGATAAGCACAGCACATAGTACATAGTCAAACTTCATATAAACAAAATAGCATCAGCGGCAAGTACCTCCCTTGTCACCTAGAGAGCAGCTTCCTAAACTGTCATCGAAGAATCATTATAAAAGATAGCAATAATAATAATTATAATATTTTTATTTACTACAAGTACATGTACAAGGTACAGAGACCATAGCTGACATCAATGACATACTACTATATAGAAAGCCGCTTGTTATGCTGAGCATTTTTGGTAAATTAGGTCAGTGTCCCAGGATGCGACCCACACCGAGTCGACTAACACCCAGGTACCCATTTACTGATGGGTGAACAGGGACAGCAGATGTAAGGAAACATCCGATGTTTCCACCCCTTAGCCGGGAATCGAACCCGGATCTTCATCGTGTGAAGCGAGAGCTCTTTCCACCAGAGTAAGCAGCAACTGCCTGAATCCCACGCCTAAGCAAGCATTAGATGCAATAGGTTAGGTTAGGTAAGGTTCGTCAGGAAACAGGACAAATGTTTCCTGACGCGGGTCTTAGTCAGATGATGACCCGCCTTTGGAGCTTTTGGTCATCTGACCGAGGCTTTCCGCTGGCTTACCGGTCCACCCCTTTAAAAATTATGGTCATTTATAACCATTTTTTATTAGATGCAATTTTAATGTTCTGTGATTTGAAAGAAGACTGGTAATTCGAGAGGGATGACCTTCTTAGAGAGGATAGAAGAACTAAGACGGATGGCGTTGGAGAATAAAATTTACAAGGGTATACGTGTCGCTAATAGCCCATGCTATGGAGAGGAAACTTACTAGGACGTTACGGCCCAACCTGGATCTTTGTCACGTTACAATGGTGATGGAGGTTAAAAATACAAAGGAATCAAATGGATGTTAGGAATCACCTCAGTTACAAGTGAAACGAGGTAGAAGTGGAGTGGGTTTTAAGAGTTTTGATAGAGCTCAAGATCGCCAGAAATCAATAACTCCGGTCAGCGAAACTTAAGCGGCTAGGCCTAAAACCAGTACTCAAACCTACTTAATAACAAACCTACGAGTACATACAAAGAAGACTTACCTAAGACATTAAGATGAATGGGAAGAGAGACCTTGGGGCTAGTGGACACCTGACATTCATAAACACCGACGTCTCTGAACGTGACAGAAATGATGTCGAGGAACCAGTCGTCGGTCTCCGGGGGATGGTATACCTGGAGGACACAAACATGGAGCATTTAGGGAGTTATTATGGAGGGATAATCTCCTATTCTTTGATATTTAAAGAGAAAGTACATTACAATAGAAATGATGACTATTGGCACAAATAAATGGTATAACATCGGTGGCTAAAGCATCAAACTATAACGTCAACTTAATGTCTTATGGTTATTAACTTTTAATGGGGTGAACCAGTATGCCATTGGGAAGGCCTCGGTCAGATGACAAAGCTCCAGCTACGGGTCATGATATGACTAAGATTTTGTCAGGAAACATTTGTCCCTGCTCCTGACAAAGCTTACCTAACCTAACCTTGGCGTCTTGGAGGGTAATGAACTGATTACCCTCTCTGTATCTCTACTGCTTCACATCCCTCCTCTGTAATCGACTGAAGAAGCCTACTGTGTAGGCAAAACGTTTCGGAATAGAAATACGTAACTATTGCATAAGTGTCTTGTACCAAGTATATTGCACATCATTCCTACAGTGAACAAACATTTCGTTCTCCCATTCTTTCCACTTAAGTCATTTCCCTACACTGAAGAACCCGGCTCAGGGCCGTAGACGTGGCTTATATACTGTAGTGAGGTGACGTGAAGCAGGTGGAGGCGGGGTCATAGTGGTACCATCCACTAGTCGAAGTAGGTCTTCGTCCAAAGGTTGAACAAGTGTTGAAGAATTCTTTGTAACAAGATCCCATGATGCAGTATATAAGCCACGTCTACGGCCCTATGCTGTACATTCTACAAGATTGATGGACTGAACACATCGACTCCAGTTGAGGGACTTTTACCTCATTCCCCTATCCCCTTTTACCCCTTTCCCTTTTTGATTTGACTGATGAACCACGGGTTTGGCGAAACGTTTCCTGAATAAAGTTTCCCAATGCTGCAAAGTGCCAATTTTCTCTTGTCGGTTTTCAAACCTTTCTCACAAACTGCCCAACACTGCGCATCATGGATTTTGTACAAAGAATTTTTAAACACTTTTAAACATTTGGACGAAACCACTTCGACTAGGGGAGGTCCCATATGCCCCCCCGCCCCACCTGCTTCACGTCCCCACTACAGTATAAAAGCCACGTCTAGGGCCCCTATGCTGTACTACTTGAAGCAGAGAGGCCAATATTGTTTTGCTAAACGACCTGCCTCAAAGCCCCCTCAACGAAACCCATTAGGGATAACTGAACAACAGCCCCCCATATCCCCACGGGGGTTTGCCATCCTTGTTAATTTTTCCAACAAAAACACGAATTTCCCCCAACCCCCTTTTTTTTTTACCAACACGTTTTCCAGTCAAATACACACCCACCTCGGCCCCCTTTATCTTTTCACCACCTAGCTCCCCCAAACACTATTCTCAACATCACGACCTTTCCTTGTTTTCAACACACCAACAACCAAAAAACCTCTAGCTGACAGAATGCAAACACACCGTTTTTCTTCACCCCAGTAACAACCAACTGGTCCCCAAATTTACTCAAACTTCAAAAACCCAAAAACCCTAATTCACTTGCCCAACTTCAATCCCTTTTTTACAACCACACGGCCGGGGCAAACCAGCATTTCTGGAAAACCCGACCCTCCTATTTCAACACTACTTTTCACCTGCCCTTTTACAGGTCGACACATCCCGCACTTACACACCCCCCAACCCTATCCTCTTTCCCACCCAAAACTTCCTTCTCCTACAAAAACCTGACTGGGATCTTTCAACAACAAAAGACAAATAACCTCCCTATGACTACAAACAACAAACCCATCTCGACATCGTACCAATTTGATCTCATCCGGGACAACCATTACAAAAACAGCCAACATCGCAATCCCAAAGAAAACTCCCCCACTCTTATTCCTTCAAACCGCCCCAAAAACAAAAACTAATTATCTGCTACCCAACCGTTTCCTCTCAACACCATAGTTTTAATCAAGTCCGATTAGATCTCACTTCCCTTTAGAAACAAAATTTACGCACCAACCAAGCCCAAACAATCCGGTCCAACTCATACAACAAGCAACAAGCGCGTATTAAAAACACTAAACCCCTTCTGGAATTTTTTAAAAAAAAATCAAGGCACAACTCCCCAAAAAAATTCAAACAAATCACCCACAACAACACACACATCCAACCCGCGGCTGCCCCAATACTTCAAACACCGGGGAAAACACTTCCACGCTCACCCCCTCACCCTAACTTTATTCAACACTTTTCAGAAATAGAACACGGGGAACACGCACACACACAAGAAACAACACAACAGCCACAACTTCTGACTCTCTTTCCCTCCCCCAAGAACTCGACATCCTTTTTCCCAACACAGACTTTAAAACTCCCCTCGAACCCCTTTCCCCCCAAGGCCCGGTGCTTTCGGCCTAAACCATATTATCCTGAAACACCTTCCTGACATATTACGCCTACACAAACCTCCCCCAATGCCTCCCTTGCCTCTGGATACCCCCTTCCCCTTCAAAGCTGCACTCTATCCCCTTCCTAAACCCAATAAAGACCCCTCTGACCCTAGAAACTATCGCCCATCCCCCTCAAACTTTAGGAAAACTCTTTTAAAAAATCTCAATCATCGCCTTCGCAGAACCTGGAACACAACTCTCTACTTTCTACGGCCATTTGGGTTTAGAACACACAGATCCACACAGGTCCTTAAAATCATTCTCAACTACATCCACATCAACCAAAACAAAGAAACAGGACAGCCCTGGTTGCAAAAGCGTTGAAAAAAACTTTACCTGTCGGCCAAGGGTCAATACAAAATCGCACCAACTTCAATCCCGCCTCCATACTCGTAAAATCCCGCAACTTCCTAAGGCCGTACCATGAGATCAAAACCAAGGCTATACTCTGACTACCTTTACACAAAACCGGAGTAAAACCCCCGGGGTCTTCCCTCCCCCCACCCTCTAATTTTTTTCACTAAAGACATTCCAACCCTTAAACCACAACTCCATCACACTCCTAAGCAACGACATTTCACAAATTTTCCTCATCCAATATAGGACACCACACACAAAAAACAAAAAGAGGTCGACAGAAGCCCCTCTGGGGAAAAAAAATGGAGGTCAAAACCCAAAGCACAAATCCACTTTCATATTTAAACAGAAACGGGTCCTCCTTACCTTCGAACTCGAAAACGACACCCCACTTTCTTCCCCCATCACACAAACTTCACTGTCCTTGCGAATCTTTACTACCTTTTCCCCTTTACAAAAGGACACATTCACTCGGGACAATAGCTATAAGGCCCCCTTTCGGGGCCCCACAAATGAAACATGCCCTCAACGCACCAAACTCACCCTACAAATCCCCAATACTCCCAAAACTTATCCCTCTACCCTCTCTCTTGCACAAAAACAAAACTTAAACTGCACGGGCCGAACAGGCCTGCGCTGGGTGCTTGAATCAAGGAGGGTTCCCACAAGCGAGTCTCTCCATGCCCATTGACATCCCGCGCTGAACGTACTGAAGAGGCTTTAGTGACGGACCCAAACTTAGACACGGGAGACACGGACCTCTCTCCTTGACAAACTTCCAAACCCCCAAACCCACAACCTTTTCTACTCCTTGCATGATCCTCTCCTAACCTAATTTCAAATAACTGGGTCCCTGACAGGTACCCTTTTATGACAGGTACCATTCTCTGACCCACTTTGCCTTACATTTTTGGGGTTGACATGGGCCCCGCTCCCCCTCTCTACCCCAAACGTCGCATGTCCTTTCCTCCCGCTCACCCCACTGGGGTCCTAACAGAAGAGCCCGAATTTTTTTCTCAATATCTGTCCCAAAACGCCTTCGCTGCTGGGTTTTGCCCCGGCTCATTTTCAAAACTAAGAAAACTCCTCTCCAGCCTATTCTTCTCGCCCTCTTTTTCCCCCCTCATCCCATTTTGGGGTCTTAAACCCCTGCCTTTCGTTTGTTCGTTCGTTTTTGTTTCCTATGCTGACATTCTACAAGATTGAGGACTGAAACATCGACTCCAGGTTTAGGGACTATTACCTCATTCTCCTATTCACCTTTCGCCTTCCTCTTTGATTGGACTGGAAGCCCTGGTTGGCGAAACGTTTCCCGAATAAAGATTCCCCTATGCTCATAAATGTCTCAATCCTTTAAAACTTTCGGTTTTTCAAAACCTTATTTAAAAACCAGAACATGCCAGATCTGGACTTGTTTTAAAAATTTTTTCAAACACTTTTCAACCTTTGGAAGCCCACTTCCTATGAGGAACACTATGAACCCGCTATCCTTCACGCACCCACTACAGAATAAAGGTCAAAACCCCTTGTTCATTTTACAAAAATTTGGACTAACCACACTTTTGGTTGGGAATTTCCCATTCCCTATTCCTTACGCTTTTTTTATACAAAACCACTGGTTTGGGAAACTTTTGAATAAAACCAATGCTGATAAGTGTCCCTTTTTTATTAAAAGCTTTCAAAACCCGGCTCGTTGTTTCATTTTATATATCCCCAATTATTTTTTATAGAAGCTTGGGACGTGTCTTGGGTTAAGTCTCTTTACCATAACCCCCCCTTTTTGCTTGATGGCTAAGTTCTAAATTTAACAAAGGAAAGGGGTTTCCTTCCCCATTCAAAAGCATTTTCTACATTGAATGGATTGCCAATTTTTTGAAAAGGGGTTTTTCTAAACCCCCTTTATTCCCTAAAAGTTTTGAATCCATTTCCACTCCTTGCGTCCCCCATCCGGAATTTGTCTAAAAAACCTTTTAATTTCCCTTTAAATATTTAATTAAAACAAACAAGGGCCCCAAGACGCCCCAGTGGAAGCCCTTGTGGGGGTTTTTTAAAAACTGGAAAAATGATTTTTTGCAAGTTTAAAACATGGGCTTTTTTTAAGAAAACCCCGGATCCCTGGGGGTTTTAAGGTACGTAGTTTTATAATGCAGAAAGTGAGGGGTTTTAAATCTCATTTAAAGATCTCCTTTTAAAAAATCTTGGAGTTGAGGGGGAGGAAAATTTTTAAA